TCCACATTGTGGTTTTGATTTGGGTTTCCCTAATGAATAAGAATATCACACATATTTTCATGTATTTATTTGGCAGATATGGAATTTTTTATAGGAAGTGTCCAAATACTTTGTCCATTTAAAAATTGGGTCTTCTTATTATTGGGATGTAAGTTTACTTTATATATTTTAAGTACAAGTTCTTTTAGATATATACATTTTGAACTTTTTGTCCCAATTTGTGTCTTGTCTTTTCATGTTAGTAACCATGTATGGTTCAGGCTCTTTCATTTACATCTATAAACAATTTTGAGCTAATTTTCATTTCTGGTATAAAGTTATAGTTGAGGATCTTATTTTATGTTTATTTGTCTGTTCTATTTTTCTGACACTAATTGTTTGATTTTCCATTCTATCACCTATTTCATTGCCTTTAGATCTTTATTTAATATCAGTCGATACATATGTGTGGATCTAGTCTTCTGTTCTTTATGTCTTTCTATACATGAATAAAACACTGTCTTAACTGTAACTTTCTGCACATGAACAAAACATTGTATTAACTGTATAATAAATGATGAAATCCGTTAGTTTAGGGCTTCTAAGTTGGTTCTTTTTCTAAATTGTTCTGTCAATTATAGATTCATACAATTTCTACATAATAACCTGCTAATACTTTCACTTGGGTTGTATTGACTCTTTAGATAAATTTGGGAATAAATGATAGCTAACAGTATACCAGTGAATGTGGTTTAATTTTTATTTACCTTTTCATTTATTTATCTCATCAATGCTGTTTCAGCACAAAAAATTTAGAACACTCTGCTTTCCAATTTCTATTTTATAAAACCAATTTCTTTACTTAGGGTTGCATTGTATCTGTAGGTAAACTTGAAGAGAAATAGGTAGTTCAATAATACTGTGTATTCCTATCAAGAAAACTACATGTCTCTCAAACCAATTTAGGTCATCTTTAATTCCTCTTATGAAACTTGTTTAGTTCTCAAGGCACATATTTTGTCAAATTTATCCCAAAGTATTTCTGGTTTTGTGATGTTGTTGTAAATGATATTTTCATTTCTAGATTATGCTGATACATATAAATATAATTAATTTTTGCATATTAAAATTAATCACATAATGGTATTGAAGGAAATTATCACATGCTTAGTGACTTAAAATAACAGAAATTTTTCTATAGTAATGGAAGTCAGAAATGTATCTCATTTGGCTAAAATCAAGTTTTTGGCAGGAACATGTTCTTCTTGGATGTTCTAGGATGGAATCATTTGTCTCATACTTTCCAATTTCCACAGTTCACCTATATTCTTTGGCTTATGGCCCTATTCCTTCATCTTCAAATCCTGCAACATCATACTGAATCTTTTCTCACACTGCCATCTCTCAGGTTATCTCTTCTTATTTCCTCTTCCATTCTAATATACCTTTGTAATTACATTGGACCTCAGTTAATCCTTGATAACCTCCCTATTATAAGGTCAGAATATAAGAAATTAATTGCATGTATAGTCTTCCCTTTCCTCTATAATATAATTTGGTATAATCAAGAGTTCTGAGTATTAAAACATAGACACCTTTGAGTAGCAGTTACTTCCTTCCTACCATACTTGTTGTGGTGAAAATCTGATTCCCTAAGTTGTCTCATTACATTATTTAAAGCATCAAAGTTTTAACAAAAATTATGAGATGTGTAAAGAAATTGGTATACATGGCTTATACACAGGAAAATAGCACGATCAATAGAAACTATGTGTATGGAAGCACAGACATTGAAATGACTAGACATAGACGTTAAATCAGCTGGTAGTGGTGGTGGATTTCTGTAATCCTAGCAACTCTGGTAGCAGAGGCAGGAGGATCCTAAATTTGAGGCCAGTCTCAGCAACCAAGAGAAGCCCTAAGCAACTTAGGGTGACCCTGTCTCAAAATAAAAAATAAAAAGGGCTGGGGTTGTAGCTGAGAGATAAAGCACCTCTGGATTGAAACCCCCAACACCAAAAATATAAAAGGAAGAAGAATTTAAATCAGCTATTTGAAATAAACTCAAAGAACTAAAGGAATTGACTTCTAAAGAACTAAAGAGGAGTATAAGAATTATGCCTTTCCAAATACAGAATATCAATAAAGATATACATATTCCACAAAGGGACTCAATAGCAGATTTGAATTAGCAGGGGAAAAAAAGAACTAGTAAGGTACAGATAGCTTAATTGATATTATACAATATGAGGAACATAAAAAAATAATTTAAAATAAATAGAGTAACATGGCCTATCAGACAATGCAAGAGTACCAACATATACATAATAGGAATTTAGGAGAAGACAGAAGGGAAGCAGAAAGAATATTTGAGGAAACAGCGGGAGGAAGGAGGGATGAGATAAGGAAAGAACAGTGGAATGAAACTTAACCTAATTTTCCTACGTACATATATGAATATACTATAGAGCATTTCACCTATATGTATATCTGCAAGGCACTAACTTAAAAAATACTATAAAATAAATAGCAGAAAAATCAGTAGAGTAGGGGGTAAGGAATAGGGGAGGGAGGCAGGGAGGGATAGAGGAAGTACTGGGAACTGAATTGGAGCAAATTATATTCTATGCTTTTATAATTAAAATGAATCCCAAAGTAATGTACAACTAAAAAGAACTATAAAAATAGCAAAAATTCTGAAACTTGTTTAAAAACATTAACCTACACACCCTAAGTAGCTCAACAATATCCAATTAGGATAAAAACAGATTCACAGCTGGGCAAATCATAGTCAAACTGTCAAAAAGCAAAGGCTGGGAAGGGCATGTGGAGGAGCATGTATAGAGGAAGGTTGTATTTAATCAGTTCACACTGTATATATGTCTGGAAATACAACAGTGAACCTCATTCACATGTAAAGTGAATACATGTTCAAAAATAAAAAGAACAAAGGCAAAGAAGAATTTTGGAAGCAGCAAAAGAGAAGTGACTGACTCATCATATACAAAGTGTTCTCGATAAGATAATAGCTGACTTATCAGAAACTATGGAAACCAGATGGCATTGAAATGACATATTCAAAATAATGAAAGAAAAAGGCTATGAACAAAGAAATAACATCTACGAAAACTGTCCTTCAAAAATGAAAGAATAATTAGTACATTATCTGATAAACATAAATTGAGATAATATGTCACTAACACATCTTCTCTGTAAGGAATATGAAAGGGGGGCTAGGGCTATAGCTGAGTGGTAGAGCACTTGCCTCGCATGTGTGAGGCACTAGATTCAATCCTCAGCACCACATAAAAATAAATAAATAACGATATTGTGTCCATCTGCAACTAAAAAAAATTTTTTTAAAGAAACATAAAAGAGCTGAACAGAGTGGCACACACCTGTAATTCCAGCTATTCAGGAGGCTGAGACATGAGGATTGTAGGTTTGAGGTCACCTTGGGTTACACTGCAAGAGACCTTGTTTTTTAAAAATAAAATAAAATAAAGATCAAATAATAAAATAAATACAAAAGGTAGTCTTTCATGCTAAAATGAAATTAAATAACTGGACATTTATTGATTCACATGAATAAATATTGAATAAGGAAAATCACACACACACACACATAAACATAAAAGACACTACCAATGCACTTTGTTTTTAATGTTTTCCTCCTAATTTAAAAGGCAGTCACATGAATGACTGGAGTAGCAGCACAAGATGTCACCATGGCTACCGAACTATTGACGCGGAACCCTGCGGTGCCGCCTCACTGGTACAAAGCGGTTTCAAATCAAAACCCTGTGAGGATCACGGATACTAAGGCACTCTAACCGAATATTTGTCATCACATTGGCAGAATCTCATCCAGTTCTTCAAAGCGGAAGAACAATTAAAAGTATATCTTATCAGATTGGTACCAACTGTCCCAGAATTTAGGACAAGGACTCTGGGAAATTAAAGCTGTGGGCTCAGGTGTTTTTTTGTTTGTTTGTTTTGTTTTTTGGTTCTTTTTTTAGTTATAGATGGACATAATACCTTTATTTTGTTTATTTTTTAAATGTGGTGCTGGGATCAAACCCAGTACCTCACGCATGCTTGGAGTGCTGTCACTGAACCAGAACCCCAGCCTGAGCACAATTTTTAACAGAACATTCACTTCTGTGTAATATTTACTGTTCAGATGGAGACAAATATACCATACTTAACTCTGTTAGAAGATGGTTGATGGAAGTGAATGAAAACATTCTCCACAAGCCATCTATTCTTCAAGAAGAGCCATCCACTGAAGGTTACAATGTAGCGGTGTTGCCCAAATTGGAAGAAAGCAAAATGTAACAGAGCTGGGCATGGTGGCTCATGCCTGTAATCCCAGCAGATTAGAGGATTGACGCAGGAGAATCACAAGTTCAAAGCCAGCTTTAGCAACGAAGCAAGGTCCTAAGCAACTTAGTGAGACCCTGTCTCAAAATAAAGAGGGTTGAGGATGTGGCTCAGTGCTTAAGCACCCTCGGGTTCAATCTCTAGTACACCCCCCCCCAAAAAAAAAGAAGAGAAGGGCTACTGACACTAAAGAAATACCAGGCATAAAATCTACACGGAACCAGAAGACTTGAAAAATACTGTAAATAAAGTAAATATAGTATGCATCTACTGAACAATCCACAAAGCACTGAGAAATAAATATCATTTTAACTATTTTTTTGCAAAATATTACACAATTTTTTATTATTAAATGAGAGAATCTCATTTGTTACATCGTCACATTGCTAGTCAGAGAAATGCTGCAGTGATGAAGAAAGTCAATGTTGGATCAGCCAAAGTCCTCATTTCTACAACATTCATTTACAAAGAAATAATGTTCAACTCAGCCCAACAAAACATTCTTGGTTTTCTTCATATTGAAGTCCCCCCAAAAAACCATCTTCTAATGGGGTGTTTCACTACATAAATTATAGTTCTTCATTTTTACAATTCACTCCAAACTGTATGAGAGATGTATCACACTAAAAATTCTAAAGCTGTTAGGAAATCCTTCATACATCATCATCATCTGATGTGTCACAGCTACTTGTCTCTGTGTCATCATTCTCAATTGTGGGTTTGAAAGTGCTGTTTTTCCAGGGTCCAAACTTGAAGTCACAGATCAGGCCATTTTTCAAAATACCATTTTTTCTCAGACCATTCTTCTGCAACTGTTCACTAATAACTTGGAATTCTCTCATTTCATCCTCAGTTAAGGGAGCACATGTTTCATCATTTTCACTGTCTTCCTGCCAGCCCATTTCCTTTAACAATCTGTGTTCTGCCTCAAGTGAACTGGAAAGAACATCAGTTTGCAGAAAGGTTGAAGACCGAATGATCTGTTGGGAAATCACTGAGGCATTGCCATTCTCTTGTGGAATTTCATTTTCATCAAAGTTTCTGTTTATATCCCTTTCTTAGTGAGTACTATTGCTGTTATGCAAATTAAATGAGTCTTCATCCTTCTCTGAGCCAACATGGCTTTCATCTTCATGTTCTTCTTCTACTCTGTCCCTTTTCAATGCTTTCAAAAATTCACTCTTCTTATCAGTGCGCATTCGTGTCAGTTTGGTTAGACGAGGCTGCTGATTAAGTTTGTCAACAGGTGAAGAGGAATTTGAACGATTACACTCTTTCACTGAATTTAGTGATGGACTAAAATTCTTGGCAGTTGATTTAAAAGCATTAAAGTTGCCATCACCATATGAAGATTCATGAGGGAAAGAAGTCCCAACCTTATTTTCTTTAGTTTGGCTTTTCCACTGTGTAGGTTTTGTAGGTGGAGCAGCAGGTTTAGGGACTAAGCCTTTATAAACACTCGGACCAGTTCCATTATTAACTGGCTGTGACTGAAGATTTCCTACTACAGGGAATCCAGATAGCTGTAAGTCTTTTGTATTACCTTTCTTAATAACCAGCATCCTTGGAGCTCTAGATTTAGGATTCGGAGGATATTCTAAGAGAGGAGCTTGGGAGATTTTTTTGGTTGGGTATGTGTGTGTCTGGGTGTGTAGGCCCCATACACCTGCAGCTAATGATTTATTCTTTTTTTTTTTGTTGTTGTTTTTAAGATAGAGTGAGAGAGAGGAGAGAGAGAGAGAGAATTTTTAATATTTATTTTTTAGTTATTGGTGGACACAACATCTTTGTTGGTATCGAACCCGGGCCGCATGCATGCCAGGCGAGCGCGCTACCACTTGAGCCACATCCCCAGCCCCCTAATGATTTATTCTGATTTGGTTCTCTCTTGTATTCAGGATTTAAAGATGGAAAATCCTCAGCCTCAAACTGTTTGCGTTCTCTTTTATCTTCTTTCCTTCCAGTTTCATTGTCAGGTATGTTGTTTTCATGTAGACCTTGGCTTTTTCCAGAATGGAAAATACTGCTACGAGAACGGGAATTTCCACCATGGTATCCTCCTCGATGATTTATGTTTTCAGTACCATTTCTGCCATGCGTACGCCATCCATTTTTTCTTTCCTTCCAAAATTACCAGAATCAAAGCCATCTGAAGAATTGTGTCTTCGATGATTCACATCATAACGATTTTCCATCCATGAAAAATTTTCAGAATGCTTCTCAAAATTCAATGATGAAAATTCCAACAGGACTGCCCACGAAGGTGTTGGTTCTTTCTCTGTAATCTTTATGTTTTCCAGGTTTTTTTTTTATTTTATATCCTCTGAAATATCCAAGTTCTTTGAAGATGCTTAACCTATGACTATTTGACATAGAGTTATTTCAAGTCAGCTACCCATACTTCTGTTTTAAAGTTTTCATATGGCTATCTCCAGAATTAGCCAAGTTCCTCGGATTTAAGATCAAAGTCTTCTTTATTATTCCATGTACTTGTAACTGTTGTACTTATCCACTCCAGATGAAATATCCAACTTATGAGCCAAAAAGCAGAAACGAACAGAAAATTTCACATCTGAAGAGTATTCCTAAACATCAGCACATAAAAAGACACAAATAGCTATCTCAATACCACCATGCTGGTGGAAAACTGCAACATCTTAATTTTCTTTTTCTTTCAATGTCTTCATTTAGAAAAGCTGTCCCATTGTTACATGAAAAGGGCTGAGGTAAAAAATTCCTAAAAGTTTTAATAAAGGTAAAAATAAACTGCCATGAAACTTTAGCAATACTCAAAACAGTAATTTGAAGCTGCTGAAACTACTTAGTACACAAATCAAACATATCTTACAGTTTGGCTGAAGAACAACAACAGGATGGAGGTAGGGGGGCAAAAATAACACCAGCTGAAATACTTTTAACCAGTTATATAATCCGTTTGAACCAAAATACTGAAGAAATGCCTGGGTCTCTTTTTAAGTAGTTTGTAGAATCTGTTCACTACTATCAATTCACTTCAGAGATGATTCTTGCCAATTTTAATAAACTTCAGGGGCAAAATTATCCAAAAACATTGTAATTCCAAAATGGCCACTTGAAATATCCAGGCCTTTTACACAAAACCTAGAAGATGATCTTCATATCTCAATAATTCAATCACCTTCTGCCCCACCAGAGGTGTCCCTGGCCTGGGGGTGCCGCTGCGCTCCATGCCGGGAGGAGGTTTTCCGTACTTTGAATAATACCCTTTTGCCGCTTTTCCCTCCCCCACAACCAGTCTCAGTCCCTCTTTTAAACTATTAATGGAAATTATCTGGATAGAGTTTATTTCAGGTCATAAAAAGCCTCAATAAATTAAAAGACTGAAATCATAGAGTCTTCTCCAACCAATTAAGTTAGAAGTCAATAACAAGAAAATCTGAGGAATTCACAAATACATGCAAAAGATACAGCAAAATACTAAAATTATGGATCAAACACAAGTAACAAAAGAAATTAGAAATTATTTTTATATAAATGAAAAGGAAAACACTAAGTACCAAAACTTGTGGAATGCTGCTAGGGCAGTGCTTAGAAGGAAATTCAAGTTGTAAAGGTCAGCATTTCAAAACAAATAAAATCACAAATCATTAACTTAACCTTCCACCTTAAAAAGCTGGGAAAGAAAGAAAATGTATATATGTACACAATGCAGTTTTATTAAATATTTTTTTGAGTTGTAGATGGACACAATGCCTTTATTTTGTTTGTTTATTTTTATGTGATGCTGAGGATTGAACCCAGTGCCTCACACATGCCAGGCAAGTGCTCTACCACTGAGTCAACAACCCCAGCCCCACCATTTCAGTTTTACTCAGCCATAATGAAGAATGAAATTATGGCATTTTCTGGTAAATGGACAGAACTGGAGGACCTCATGCTAACAGAAATAAGCCAGAACCAGAGTCAAGGGTCAGATGTTTTCTCTCATATGCAGAAGCTAGACCAAAAGGGGAGGGAGAATCCCATGAAAACAGAAAACAGATCAATGGAGTAAAGAAAGGGAATTGAGGAGGAAGGAAGAGGGATGGGAAAAGGGAGAAATAATGGAATGAAATTTACCAGACTATCCTATGTTCATACATGAACATAGCACAGTGGATTTCACCTTTATGTATATCTACAATGCACTATTTTTTTTAAAAACCCCTATAAATAGAAGAAAGACCCATAGAATACAGGAATAGGAACAAGGAGGGGGAGGAGAGGAGGGAAATGGAACTCAATTGAAACAGATTATATTCCATGCTTATATAATTGTGTCAAAATGCACCCCAATATTATGCACAACTGCACTAATAAAAAATTTAAAAAAAACCGGGAAAGAAAATAAAAGTAAATCCAAAGTAAGAAGGAGATGAAAATAAAACATGTTAATGTGGAAATAAATGAAAAGAAGCATCAAAAATCTATAGAAAATAGCAATAAAGCCAAAAGATATTTAGTTTTGTGAAAATATTAATAAAACTGACAAACTTAGGTAGACTGACCAAGGACAAAAAGAAGGAAGATTCAAATTATAAAAATCTGCAATGAAAGGGGTAGGATCACCATCAACCTTACAGAAACAAAAAGGACTATAATAGATTATTATGAACAACTGTCTGCCAACAAATTAAATGACCTAAACCAAATGGATATATTCTTAAACACAAATTGCTAAAACTAACTCAAAAAGAAAATTTGAATAAAAATTGGATTAGTGCTTTTCACATGTCCTGAAAAATAGCTCATATTCAAATGGTTTCACTTGTGAATTCTTCTTTAAAGAAGAATAAATGCAAGTTTTTCACAAACTCTTCTAGAAAATGGAAGAGCAGGGAACATATCTCAATTAATTCTATTGTCAGTTTTAGTTTGAGATCAAAATTAAAAAGATACTATGCAAGCAAACTAGACACCAACAACCATTTATGAATACAGTGAAAAAGTCACCAAGAAAATACTGGTAAACTGAATCCACTGTCATGTAAGAGGAATCATACAGTATTATCAGGTGTGATTTTTATTAGCAATTTCATTATAATAATGAAAACCAGGATAATGAGCTAGATATTTTCATTATTGTAAACTTTCAATTTTTATAGCTTATTATATGCCAACAAAGCTGTTAAAATTACCAGTGAGGTATTTTGCATTATTTATTTATGTATTTTAGTTGTAGGTGGACACAGTCCCTTTATTGATTTATTTATGTGGTGCTGAGGATCAAACCCAGTGCCTCACTCATGCTAGGCAAGAACTCTATCATTTAGAGTCACAACCTCAGCTCCTTTACATTATTTTCTCATATTCTCTTCAAATTCCAGTGTACACTTCACCTTTACATTTTCTTTTAAAAAATTATTAATACAAAATAATTATGCATAATAGTGGGATTCCATCATGACATATTTGTACATGAACATAATATAATTTATTCAGTTTTGTTCCTTAGTATTTTCACTCATCCTCCCCTCCTTTCTCCTCTTTCTGCCCTTCTAGTTCCCCTTCTATTTTCACCACACTCCTTTTTTCCCTTTCATTTCTCTCACTTCCACATTTGAGAGGAAAACATATGGTCCTCAACTTTCTGAGTCTAGCTTGTTTCATTTAACATAATGCTGTCCAGTTCCATCTGTTTTCCTGCAAATTATATAATTTTGTTCTTTTTTATATCTGGGTAAAATCCATTGTGTAGAAACACCACATTTTTTTTCCATTCATCTGTTGATGAACACATAGGCTGATTCTATATCTCAGCTATTATGAATTATATTGATATAAATATGCATATGCATGTATCACTATATCATGGTATAACCTTTCAGATAAATATCATGGAATGGTGTAGGTGAGTCCTAATAGTATACTATGGTTTCATTCCTAGTCTTTTGAGGATCCTACAAACTGGTTTTCATAGTGGCTGCACTAATTTACAATCCCATTGACAGCACTTGAGTTCCTTTTACCCCACAGCCTCACCAGCATTTATTCTTATTTGTATTCTTGATGATTGACATTCTAGCAGGTGTGAGGTGGAATTTCACTGTAGTTTTGATTTGCATTTCCCTGATTGCTAAAAATGTACAACATATCTCATTCTTAGTAGCCACATATAGCTAGAAGCTACCATATTAGACCATACAGGTCCACACTGTTCTATACCTGGAGGCCCACACTCTAGAGGGACCTTAAGGAGGCTCAAGACAATATACTGTATCTCCTTATGGAGAAGACAATTCTAGTGAGAGACCAGGGATTTTATGGACAACTAGTTAAAAATATGAATGTGATATTTTTGGTATTCATAAAAGCAGTGTTTGTGCACAGTAAAGTTAACTTAGGTTAATATTGATGTATGTACACAATCTATGAAATTCATTAACTAAAAATTAATTCTATTTTTGTTAAGCTTGTCATTTCAAATTAAATATCTTATTTATCAACTTAATATAGCCAGTCACTTTCAAGGAGATATTTGTTAAGTACATTTCCATATCTTAAACTGAATTTAAAAATTTAATATACTGACTCTCTTTTTAATGCCTCAATTTTCTCACAAACCAAATTTTCCTATGAACTTGGGTTACACATCAAAATATTATTGTTAATATAGTATTTCTGAAGTTCTAAATATTCTAATATTATCTGTTTAGCAAAATTCCAAAGTTTAGTCATTTACTAAACTAACATTTAAAATTGGTATCTACCTAATCCTCTAAAATGCCAAATCTTATTGTAAATCTTTAAATTACAAATACATAGCAGCTATTCCAAAATTGAATGAACAATTTTAAGACCATGGATACAAATTAGTTCATCATATCTATATTATTTCTAATATTTTTGCAATTAAAATTAACTTATCCATTAAGAAATCAGTCCAAGGGGCTAGGGTTGTGGCTCAGTGGTAGAGCACTTGCCTACCATGTGTGAAGCAGTGGGTTTAATTCTTAGCATTCCATATAAATAAATAAAAGGTCCATTGACAACTAAAATATTTTTTTAAAAAAGAAAGCAGCCCAAATATACCAATAATTTGGAATTTTCATTTTAGATTCTTGAGGTTGAATATCAAAGTTAGAATTTGGGGCTGTGATGCA